CCAATTTGGCTCTAGGCCAGGTCAGTACCCACAGAAACTCGTAACCACCAGTGGGTGGCAATATTGTCACATGGAGCCATCAGGATACAGGGGTGACCTAGCACCCTTCTCAAAGGTGGTTAAGCTTTAGCACTTTATGTGCGGGTGGTTCTGGGTAATCCCAAAGAGACAGTCTCTCTGTTTTGAAGCATGCGGGGTATTCCTGCAAGAAGAGAGAGGGCATACTGTTGTTCATGGGATTCTTGCCTTGTCCATCCATAATGCCCATGGATCCCTCCAGTGTAAGATAGGCATTGTATTCCCCACAGATTGTATCTGTCGTGGAGACACATTCCACTGCCTTTGTGCCCACAATTTTATTAACCTGCTGTAGATGCTGGTCACAGCATGGATGAATAGCTCTAACACTAAGAAAGATGATCACTATTCTGTAGTTGCCCCCAAATTAATCCAAATTTGGTTGATGACTATTGGATGGATTCAGTCTCCAGTGATCCTCAGAATAGAATAAACCACAATCAGCCTCCCTCTAAAACAGCCTGATCCATACTCTGAAACAGCAGTACTCTGTCTGCTCTCACACTGGCCTGTCCTACCACATAAGGGACTCAGGGAAATCACCAAGGTGATAGTTACCCAATTTGGGCAAAATGTGTCCAATACCTGATGCTGTCAGGGGAGTTCCCAAAATGCCACCATGACACCATAGGTCAAATTACCATGTGACGCTCTGGGAGAAAGGCTTATACTTGTGCAAAATCTGCGCTACTCTGAGGAAGGGCCTTGAACCTGAAATATTTCTCCTGGCTTGTCACACACTGAAATTCCTGCAGAATGCCCAGACTCAGGGAGGAGGTAGAAAATGTATGATGCATCCAGAAGTCAAGAAAAAACACGGCAGCAAAGAGAAGATTTCAAGAACATCTAGCCACTCAATTTGTTTCCTAAAAGTTAGTGTTTTTTTTTTTTATCTTAAAATGTTATAGAGTAAGACCAGCATTTTCAAAATATGGCATTTTTCTTTTTTAGGACACCATCAGACACCAGGCTTTGGTTTTCTTGGTTATAGGTATGCTAGCCCCTGTGTATCCTTTTTGTAGACTCATACGAGTTTAAATCTTATAAACCACTCATCTATCATCAATTAAGAAAAAAGGTTAGTTTACTTTCATGAGAAAAGACTATACATTCATTACGGACAATACAGAAAGATCTGAAGAAAATCTAAGAGATGATCTATTGGCTTTTTGATGCACATTCTTCCAGTCTTTCATATCTGTCATGTTTCTAAATACAGACAAGTAATATTTTATAAAATATAATCTACATATCTTTGCATGCTTTTTTCTTCTGATTTCTTCTCATCACTTTCATTTTTTATGCTTTGGATTGTTCTCTATGAAATTTCCCTTCATGCATTTGTAGAGAAATTTACCTAGTTAACTCTTGCACGGTTAGAGATGTAACTACCATTCAAAGCATGCTATTTTCCCCGGTGTATAGAAACAAAAATAAATGTTGAACTGATAGGAGATAGATCACTGGGAAGCATTGCTGTGCTTTTTGTCCATGTAGTTCTCTTGGATATTTTAAGTGGGTTTGTGACCTTCAATAGAAAGATATGCCCTGTCCTGGTTTCGATTCCATGGACCCATCAGTCATTCGTTGAACCTGTTATTCATACATGTCCCCTCTTCTTTTATAAATCTTTGTACAATGTCCAAGTTTAGGCCTATTATTTGTATTCACCACCCTTTAGATGGACTGTTTGTATATAATTTTGCCACTCAGCAGTTTATATCATGTCTCAGGACTAGAAGGAACTGGGAAGAACATTCTGTTCTGCCACATGGTCTGTCCTGCCACTCACGCCCTGAGCCTGACTCTAGCTGAATTCCTGCAAATAAAAGTCTCCTCCATGGGCATCAAGCCATGGCTAATGGTCCTTAGTGACAAGAAGCTTATTACCTCTTAAGAAGACCCAGAACAATTTCGTAAAGCTCTTAACTAATTAAAATACTTACATTTCTGTCATCCTTGCCATTGCCAGCTCTTGAAGGATCACAGATCAATCACACATAACTTTTGCATAAAAACCTTAAACAATCTTAATTTTTAAAAAAAGATTGATTTATTTTTATCAGAAAGGCATATTTACAGAGAGGAGGAGAAACAGAAAGTCTTCTGGCTGCTGATTCACTCCCCAAGTAGCTGCAACAGCCAGAGCTGAACCAATCTGAAGCCAGAATCCAGGCGCTTCTTTCAGTCCTAAGGCTTTGGGCCACTATCTTCTGCTTTTCCAGGCCATTATCAGGGAAATGGATGTAAAGTGGAGCAGCCAGGATGCAAACTAGTGCCCACATGGGATCCTAGAATGTGTAAGGTGAGGATTTAGTCACTGAGCCATTGTGCCAGGCTTGGGATGCAATCTTAATTATTGTGGCATCAGAAAATCAAATACTCCAGGATAAACATAATCAAGAAGGTAAATTAGAAAAAAGTTCTTCAAACATGTACAGGTTCCTATCAAGATGCCCTAGAATCATCTCCAGTTTGAACATCAATTGCCTTCAACTGTTTTTTTGTAACATGAATTGAGTCCATGCATACCCCATAGTGGCCATTCCAGACACTACAACTCTGTTTAATCCACATGTCGTGGGTCCTGACAGGACTATCAGTAATGTGGCCAGAGTCTCTACTAGTTCATCAAACCACTGTTAATTCTGGTAGAGCTGACTGTATGATTGGTACATTCTTATGTGCCACCACTAAAGCACTTTGTCAGTTAGAACTCATTTGGCAATTAAAGAAGAAACCAAAATCAACAAATATACAAAATCTAAGCACACTGACTTAGCAAAGAAAGAATGTATTAAGGAACAGCTTGATTTAAGAGTCAAGTCATATTACCAGATCTGAATTGCTACTATTTCCTTGTCTTGACCTAGTTCTGTTTCTTCTGCTTGAATGGTATTCACCTTTCTTAGGCAGACTCTCCACCCACAAGATGCCTCCACTCTCGGGCTTGTGGGCGTTGTTCCCAACAATCCCAGTCGACGTGGCATTGCCTCTCACCTACTCTCCTTGTGTCACATCTCTGAACTCCCTCCCTGTGGCCAGGAAAATGTGATAACAATTTTTCCTCACAACAAACTTGAGACAGGTGGTTGTTGCATTATCATCATCATTTCCATGAAAAGACAAAGAAACGTAATCCCAGAGAAGGTGATGACCAAAATCCAATACCAGCAGTACCCATGTCCTACTCATCTTGCTCCAAATTCCATACACCAAACACAGAAGTGGTGTTTGCCTTTGAAACCCCTCAATATGCAATTCTAGCCCCAGGCAAGTGTGCCAATAAGATCATTCATCACAAATGAAAAATGACCATGTTGCAAATCAGGGATCAGCCATTCACGTTACAACAGTCTACTGCTATACAGAAGTAACTCGTTTTCAATAAGAAATTCCTCCTGCATTGAGTTACCTGGTTCAAAGTCATTAATGGCAGTGTAGAAATCCTGGGACGGAGAGACCAAGCTGATTGGTTCAGACCACAGCCGACTAAACTTTCGTTAGAACTGAGCAGTATCTCTGGCACATTGTCCATCTTGGCAGGAAAAATAAAGTTTTAAGAAACCTTGCTTACACATTGGTTTTTGCGTAAGGTGGGGATTAGAGATTTACAGAGATTTACAGAGGTCTCACCAGGAAGTCTCTGCACAAGCAGGATTTACCTCCCATCCTCTGCTGTGCTCTGCTAGCGTCACTTGAGCACGGGTCTTTTGTCCCCTTTGGCAGTACTGGTGCTTGGTTGAATCATATACAAAGGTATGCTACAGACTGCTATGGAATTCAGAGGGCCTTTCTACAGATCTGTTTGTCCTGAAAATTAAACTCCACTTGTGAAACCCCAGTGAGGTTTTCATGAAGGAATCACTCACAGATAAGAAGCAGGATTCAACGAAGGGGAGTAAGAGCACCATGAACATGTGTTGGTGGGCCACCATCACCTTGTGCCTTGTAGGTGAAGGACAGTAAGAGGGGCCAGTGTCCGGGGAGTCCAGGAGAAGCTGACTGTAGGAGACCTCCTGTGGGAGAGAAGCAGTGCTGCTAGATCAGAGGAGAGCAGAGGGGAGAAAGGGAAACACATCCACCTCTCCATTACCCTTACCCCACTCCCACTTCCTGCAGTGCCCACCTGTGAACAAGTGACAGGACAAGGAAGCCTGCAGTGGAGTCAGTGAGGGTCGGGCTGGAGTGGGGAAGGCAAATGTGATAAGTGTGTAAACAATGCTGCTTTCAAAGATGGGTTAAGCAGGTCCCTGAAAGGGAAAGTATCACGTTTCAGATCAAAAGTAAAGACAAGAGACGCCCTTGGCTTAGCGGTTAGGGTGCTGCCAGGGACAGCTACAGGTTGACGTGCTGACTTTGAGTTCTGACTGTTTGCAAGTCCAGCTTCCTGCTGATATGTACCTAGAGAAGTAGCATATGACATCTCAAGTAGTGGGAGACCCAGAATGCGTTCTAGACTTCTGGATGGAGCCTGGCTCAGCCCCGCTGTTGTGGACATTTGGGGAGTTAACCAGCAGATGGAAAACATCAGTCTCTCTCTCCCTTCCTCTTTCCTTCCCCCTTGCTCTTTCAAGTAAATTGAAAATCAATAAATATTTTGAGAAGAAAGGTGGAATCAAAACTAAGATGAGGGCTTCCCTTGCATCTCTGACCTTACTGATGTCAAACCTACCAAATTCCTGGAAGGGAAGCAGAAAGCCAAATCTAATCCTTCATGCTCTCATCTAATGCACAGTGGTATTGTGAATGGCCCACGGTGGCCCAACTATCTTCAGAAGTGGTGAGAGTGCACATAACTGGGGTGACTCAGCCATCTGCCTGGATTCCCTGGAAGGGTTTGAATGAGTCACCTGTATGGATTGTATTATTGTTCACATGAACTTTGTTCCCCGTGCTCAGTGTCTCTTTGTTCACTGCAGGTGACTCATCAGAGGAAGTGGACCTGTCCATGGTGTATCAGGCAGCATCCCACGGGGATGTCAATGCTCTGACAGCAGTGATTCGGGAAGACCCTTCCATCCTGGAATGCTGTGACAGTGAAGGTAAGAGACAAACACACTGTTGAGTCAGGAAGGCTCTGCACTTGTCTTCTAGAGATGGCTTTCAGACAAAAGCCATGTCAATCAAGGTACATCTACCTAATCCTTTTGATCCTGGAAGGACACGGAACTGCCTACTCATGGCTTTGGGCAGATCACCTGTGTGTCTTTAAGCAAGCATGTTGAACACAAGGCTTCCATCACCTCTTAGAATGAAGTTGATTTGAGTTTGTTTCCAATATATTTGGAAGAATGACTAAAATAGACATGCCAAGTGATTGAAACAGAGTTATGGAATGAGCAAATACTTTTGGTACCAGTGGATTCTGGGAAAATATAACTGTTCCATAAAACAAGAATTCTAATTCTGGGAAGATGGAATAAAATCTTCCCTTCCCAACCCACTTCCATTCTTTCTGTGAAATGCAATTAAAAACCCTGGAATTACGTACAAAATAAAAAGTTTCTGGGAAAGTGGAAAGAAAATAAGAAGTTGACTAGGATCCTGAGACCAAATGAATAGCCTGGTGATAAGTTTCCTGAGCTTAATTTTTGTGACATCTGTCCCAGAGATGGAGCTAAAAAAGTGCCTACAAAGCAGCACCCACAGGCACAGACAGAGAGCAGAAGCCAACAGTCTCTAACCAAAGAAGCAGGGAAGGAATAGCCTAGATGGCAAGGTTTTTGAGACAAAATCTAATAAATGGGCCTGGCACAATGGCTAAACTGGCTAATTCTCCACCTCCAAGCTCAAGCATCCTATACAGGCACTGATTCATGTCCTGGCTGCTCCACTTACTATCCAGTTCGCTGCTTGTGCCCTGGGAGGGCAGTAGAGGATGGCCCAATGCCTTGGTACCCTGCCTCCACATGAAAGACCCAGAGGAAGCTCCTAGCTCTTGGCTCTGGATTGACTCAGCTCCAGCCGTTGTGGCCACTTGAGGAGTAAACCAGTAGATGGAGGATCCTTCTGTCTCTCCTCTCTGTAAATCTACATTTCCAATAAAAATAAATAAATCTTTTTAAAAAGATTTATTTTTGTTGGACAGTCAAAACAGCCCAACTCCAGCCATTATAGTCATGTGGGGAGGGAACCAGTGCCTGAAAGATCTGTCTATTCCTCTCTCACTCTCTCTCTCCCTTTTCCTATCAAATAAATAAAGCATCACCAAAACAAGCCAACAACAGACAAGAAAAACCCTACAGAAAAGTAGTCCTCAAAAATATAAATATAAAACTTGTTTACAAAATATTAACAAGTAGAATTAAGTAATATATAAAAAAGAATTATACATCATAACCAAGTAAGATTTGTTCTAAGAATGTAAGTCTAGCTCAGTATTTGAAAGTCAATGTAATCTACCAAATTAACCAAAAGAAAAATTGGAGCCAATTTTGTGGCACAGAGAATTAAACTACCCCTGCCATGGCAACATTCCATATCAACACCAGTTTGAGTCCAGGCTGTTCCACTTCCTATCCAACTCCCAGCTAAAGCAACATAAGATTGTCCACATATTTGGGCCCTTGGCACTCATGGGAAAGCCCCAGATCGAGTTACTGGCTCCTGGCTTTGGCTTGCCTCCTCGGCCCCAACCATTGCAGCCATTTGAGGAGTAAGCTAGTGGATGGAAAAAATCTTTCTTTTTTAAAAAAAATAAGAAAAATCATATTTATATCAATTGGTACAAAAAAAAACCATGACAAAATATAAAGTACATTCATAAAAAAAGTCATAGAGAAAAAAAGAAGTAGAGAGGAACTTGCGCAATATGACAAAGCTAAATATTTTACTTAAGAATAAAAGACCAAAGTCATCTGCCCTTGAGGCCAGGAACAAAGCATAAATGTCCATTCTCATCACTCAGAGTATAGCGCAATATCCGTGCAAAGAGGCATCGCAACACGGGAGGAAATTAAAAGCAAACGTTGCATAGAAATATGGAAAATGAAAAAGGAAAACTATTCCCTTTTTGAAAAACTTGATTATCTTCATAGAAAAATCATCAGAAATCTACCCAAACACTCCTACAACTGACCAATCAAATGTGTTCACCAAGGTCACAGGATGTAAGATCAACGCACAAACATAAATTGTGTTTCCATATTCTACCAATAAATACTCAGACACCAAAGTTTAATATTAATATCTTTTAAAAATCACTCAAATAAGAAAAACATACTTCAGTATAAGTAAGAATGTACCAATGTTCATGTGCTTAAAACCGTAAGATTTGGGCCCGGCATGGTAACCTAGTGGCTAAATCCTCACCTTGTACATGCTAGGATCCCATATGGGCGCCAGTTTGTATCTCGGTAGCTCTGTTTCCCATCCAGCTCCCTGTTTGTAGCATGGGAAAGCATTCAAGGACGGCCCAAAGCCTGGGATTCTACACCTGCATGGGAGTCCCAGAGGAGGCTCTGAGCTCCTGACTTCAGATTGGCACAGCTCTGGCCATTGCAACCACTTGGGGAGTGACTCATCCGATGGAAGAGCTTCCTCTGTCTGTCTCTCCTCGTCTCTGTATATCTGCCCTTCCAATGAAAATAAATAAATCTTAAAAAAAAAAAGCCCCAAGATTTGTCAAAACAAATCAAAGACCTAAATATAAGGAGAGGCATGCCATGTTCATAGATTAGAAGACAAGATAACCAATGAGCATCTTCCAAATTTGTATACATGTATAGTCTAACTTTTAAAAAGTTGCAGTTTAGTATAGGATAGAGACTATAATTTTTGCCCAAACCTCCTATTTGTTATGGCCATAGACAAGACTATCTAAAATATAAATAGAAATACAAAGGAAGTAGGATATTTAAAACAATTTTTTAAAAAAGAATAGAGGAATCACTGTACCCAATTTCAAGACTTAGAGCTGCATAAATCACATCTATGGCATACGGGCTGAGGAGTTAACACACAGGTCAATGGAAAAGAACAGAGAACTCAGAAATCAACCCACACAAGTGCTGAAAGTGTAAATGCACTTTGGTTCAAGCAAACCTTTTCAGCAAGTATTGCAGGAGCGATTTCAACACTCATAGACCCCCCCCCCAAAAAAAAAAACAAGAAGTAAAGGAAAAGAGAATGAAAGAAGGAAGGAGGAAGGAAAGGCAAGGGAAGAAGGAAGGAAGGGAGAGGGAGGAAGGGAGGGAGATAGGAAGAAGGAGAGAAAAAAGGCACAGTAACACGGTTTATAAAAATTAATTCAATATGGCTCACAGACTCAAGTTCCCTGGTGGTCTAGTGGTTAGGATTCTGCACTCTCAATATGGCTCACAGACTTAAAATATGAAAGTTTACACTTTTTGGGGAAAAAAAAGCATGGAAGAAAATCTTAAGGGTGTAGGGCTAGACAAGCAGTTTTTCAGCTCAACACTGTAAGTTCAGTTCATAAAAGGAAAAACTTGATAAATACAAACTCAGGAGAAATTAAAAACATTTGCCTCTCTATTGAGAGGATCCCAGGAGAAACTCCATGAGAGGAAGAAAATATTTGCACACCACATATCCCACCGAGGCAGGCTGTTTCAGAGTCGGTACTCCTTGGACCTTGACGTTTATGCTGATTCTCCCCAGCTCTTCCCAGAACAAGCCTCCACACCTTTCTGTGAACTCTTGGTCTCAGTTTTCTCATCTATGAAATGCAGACAGAGTTACAGGATTTGGGAATTTTTGTTATTATTATTTTTAATGAGAATCAAATGTGTTAATCCATCTTGAGTGCTTAGAGTTAAGCCTGGCACATAACAGGCACTTGATAAATATTAGTAATTCATGTTGCTTTTGGAATTGCATGACCATATCATAACTACTTCACAACTACCCAGAACAAGGCTGTGAGTCTCAAAATCCCGAGGCTAAGAAGATGGGTGGAAATGTTGTTCCCTTGGTTCATGCTTTTGCTGTCGCCAACCTCATCATGGGCAGCTCTTACCAGGACAATCTAAAGATGCCAGCTACTAAAGCTACTTTCACACTAGGCATGCCTGACCCAGCCGCTCCAGCCTCTGTGTGTCTAATTGCACATGTGAACTATTTCAAACGTATGGCTGGTGTGGAACTAACATGTCAAGCTTAACTGATACTTACCACCCAGATTTTATAATTTTTACAATTGGCAAGTCTGTCTTGGGATTTTGTTTTTGAAGAAATAGAGTTAGAGAATAGTTGAAGACCCTTCGTGTCCTTTGCTAATTCTGTCCTGTTGCCATTCTTTTTAGTGAATAATCTTTTCTTGGTTAATAGATTGAATCACTGTCACCCAATCATTTCATTTTGTTTATAATTTTATATACAGTACAATAATTTTAATTTAAACATAATTAAGTTTAATAAAAGATTCCCTTCATAGTTCAGACTTTTTTTTGTGCCTTCTTCAGTGAGATTTTACCTACCTTAATGGTTTTTTCTTTTTTAAGATTTATTTTGTTATCATTGGAAAGGTAGATTTACAGAGAGAAGGAGAGACGGAAAGATCTTCCATCTGCTGGTTCACTCCCTGAATGGCCTCAATGTCTGGAGCTGAGCTGATCCAAAGCCAGCAACCAGGAGCCAGGAGCTTCTTTTGGGTCTCCCACATGAAAGCATGCAGGGTCCCACGGCTTTGGGCCATCTTCTGCTACCTCCCCAGGCCACAATCAGGAAGCTGGGTGGTAATTGAAGCAGCTGGGACATGAACCAGCACCCATATTGGGATCCAGTCACTTGCCAGGGGAAGATTAGCCAATTGAGCCATCGTGCCTTTATAGCCTTGATGCTATAAAGATATTTTTCTGTATTTTCTTTAAAAATTCTTAAGTTTGGGGCCTGGCATGGTAGCCTAGTGGCTAAATTCCTCAACTTACACATGCCTCTGGGATCCCACTTAGGCACAAGTTTGTTTTCTGGCAGCCCCCCTTTCCATCCAGCTCCCTGCTTGTGGCCTGGGAAAACAGTTGAGGAGAGTCCAAAGCCTTGGGTCCCTGCACCAGCGTGGGAGACCTAGAAGAGCTCCTGGCTCCTGGCTTCGGATCAGTGCAGCTCCAGCCATTGCAGTCACTTGGGGAATGAACCATCAGATGGAAGATCTTCATCTCTGTCTCTCCTTCTCTCTGTATATCCGACTTCCAATAAAAAAAAATCTTTTTTGAAAAATTCTTAAATTTTGTTTCTTATACCTGGCCTCTAATCCATGTGAAATATATTTACATATGTTATGGAATTTGAATTTAATTGTAATTTGTCCCTTTCTATAGTTAATTGGTCAGCACCATTTGCCAGAAACTTCTTCCCCTATTGATTTCCAACATTACTCTGGCCTTAGTCTAAGTTCCCACACAGAACTGATGTTCAGAATCGCTTTTATGTTATGCTGACCTAGCTATTGTGTTTAACTGCTACCCCTTGGTAATACATCTTATTGATAAATAAGCCCTTGGAGCATCTACTTTTGCTTTCCCAGTTGTATTAGCTGTGAGCTGGATCAGAGGCAGATCCACCGGGGCTCTAACCAGAGTTCTAATGCAGGATGCAGGTGTCTCAAATGGCAGCCTAACCCACTGCACCACCACAAGGCTGACCTCCCTATTTTTCCTTTTCTTAATTTTTTTTTCCTACAAAGAAGGTGTATCCATTTAAAACAAATTTTAGAACTCAATTTGGTGGTGAGTTTTTTTTGTCACTCCTCCGTTAACCGTTAGAGACACCTTAGTGAGATTATTCTAAAATTAAGAAATATTATTGAGCAAGCATTCACATATGCATTTCTAACTTGTACCAGGTGACAGTGTTGCAGTGATGAACATTAGCGTTGTAAATCATTCCCCTTGCAACTTCTAGTTTAGAAGTCCATTTAAAAAAAAGATACTTATTTAGAAGGCAAAGTAAGAGTGGGGGTGCAGTGGTGAGAGAGACAGACAGAGAGATATGTGTCTTCCAACCACTGGTTCACTCTTCCAAAGGCCACAGTGTACCTGGTTCGTCTTCCACTGCTTTCCCAGGCGCACTGGCAAGAAGCTGGATTGAAGTGGAGCAGTTGGGACTTGAACTGGTACCCATGTGGATGCCAGCACAGACAGTAGCTGGACGTGTTATGCCACAATGCTTGCCTCAATGAGTGTAGTTGTAAGCAAGTTAGCATTCCCAATAAATGCATACAGTAAGTACAAAATATTGAGTTGATACAGAAAAAAATAAAGACCCACCTCAACTAGGTGATCAATATTAAGAATTAAATAATTTTTTTAAAAAAATTTAAGTAAATAAAAATCTTCAAGAAAAAGAAAGGGTGATGAGTATTATAATATGGGTTTGAGTTTATGCCGCAGAGTCAGATTTGTTCAGAGAAGTGTATAAATACTCTAGACCCTCAAGGACAGCATACGTTAGGGGGTAAATAGAAGTGCTTTCGTTTTATTGACTAAACATTTCAGATTCACGGATTGCTTCAGTGGTTGCCTTCTGCAGCGTGTATTTTATCCTCCAGTAGTTAAGGCGATGATAGGAAGGAAAGTGAAAGAGAAGAAGGGTGGTAAGTGGGAGAGAGGAAGGAAGGAATGGAGACAAGGAAGGGAGGAAGAAAGGAAGGAAGCAAGGAAGCCCGATGTAGTAGCATAACAGGCGAATCCTCCATCTATCAAACTAGCATCCCACGAGGCACTGCTTCAATACCAGCTGTTCCACTTCCTACCTCCCTCCCTGATAATGGCCTGGGAAAGTAACAAAGGATGTCCCAAGTAGTATTCAGGTCCTTACACCCACAAGGGAGACCTGGAAGAAGCTCCTGACTCCCAGCTTCAGACTGGCCCAGCTCTGGTCTTTGGGACCTTTTGGGAAGTAAACTTGTGGATGGAAGACCTCTCATTGTCTCTTCTCACTGTAACTCAGCCTTTCAGATGAAAATAATAATAATAATAATAAAGTTAAAAATTTGTAAAGGAAGGAATGAAGGGAGGAAGGGAGAGAGGAAGGGAGAGAGGAAGGGAAAGAGTCAACGTTTCCACTATGTTAAGGTCCAGCCACTTCCTGGCTGCCTTTGGCCAGAGCAGCAGCCTCAGGGAGTGTTGGAGGGGAAAAAGTTGGACAACACTGAGGGTGCCAGCTGCATCTTGCAGTGACTACAGCAGTCCTGGTGCTTGCCCACTTTGGAGAGCTCTGAGGGGCCTCATTTACAGTTCACACAGAACAGGACCACAGTCTCAACACAGCAATCGAAAGACACGTCAGAAAGGCACAGTTGTGCAAGGAGTCGAATCTGAACAGCATGAAGCCACCGATCTGCACCTCACACAGCCCTGCCACGTTATCAGACAGGTGGCTTCACGTCGACTTTTATTCAGGAAACAAATACATTTAAAACAAAAGTCTTGGCCTTTATTTACTGCAAAAACAAGAAAATATTTCAGTACATGTGGCTCTTTTTGGCAAGAATTTGTGGAATCCAAGCTAGGCCATCATCACAGCTTTCTACCATCCACCCCGTCTGTGTCTGCCTTTGTCTCAGACCTGTCTGCCTGATGGAACTACCTTCCAAAACCACTTCCAGATTTTGTATTGTTCAGGCCAAGACCAGACCAACCTGCCTGTTCTATCCCAAAGTGTGTTGGTGCCCAAGGCAGTAATAAGCCAATTCTTTCATCTATTCAAAAAATGTTAACAGTTTATTGCAAAATTACAGAAGACTGGAGGGGGAAAAAATCAGAAAAAATTACATCTTTGATAGAAGTATAGAAATTATCATCTTCTTACCCTCATCCAATGCACTTCACCAACTGGGGATGTATTGCTGAAGGTAGAGCCAGTGAAGAAATAAAGTTGGCTCATCAATTTCCCAAGTCAAACATTTGTAAAGGCTGTTGAAATGTCTCATTCCAGGATGCACACCCTTGATGCATGCGGTTTCTGGACGTCAAGTGGACACAGTGAAGCTGCTGTTGAAGATGGGAGCCAATATTAACATGCAGGACGCTTATGGCCGCACGAGCTTGTGTCTGGCAACATACCTGGTACTGACTTGTATCTGCCAAGGAGCTAAGGGGCAGGTCATGCTATAAGAGCAGTGACATCACCCTTGGAGAAACGGTCTTTGCTGTCTTGACATCGGTTTCCTTTGGGATATTTCTAGATACCCTCAGTGACTGCAAGGCCCTCCGTAAATATCTGAAAGGGTTGTCATATGTTTATGATCCAGTTATTACCTGGGAGGGTAGGATTAGTTGGCTAGAAGCTAAAGAATGTGGGGAAGGAAAGATGGGGCCTGGGAAAAGTGGGATTGGTGGGGTTGGAAGAGAAATTCCACATCGCTCCAGGACAACATCTAACACAGGGCTCCACATTCAGACCAGGCTCCATTTTTAAGTTGTATCATGCCAGTGTTTGCTAGGAGAGAGTGCAGCTAGCATTTCCCAACTTGAATGTGTGCTTGGCTATGTCTTGTTGAAAATCTTCCCAACCTATGATTATTTTAGGCAACCCTGGGGCTGCCTTGAGTCCATGGCAAGCAAGTCCTAACCCCTGTATGAGGCTTATGATTTATCCTTAACAAGGTGACACCCAGCAATCTTCATCATGACCAGCACTGCTGCCAGCAACAGCCAGGGCCGGGTCAAAGCAAAGTTAAGAGCAATCCAGATCTCCCATGTGGGTGATAGGGACCCAAGTGCTTCATCCATCACTACTGCCTCCCAGGGAGCACATTAACAAATTGCTAGAATCAGACCTCTGATAGGGGATGTGGGCACCTCACACCCCACGCCATATATATATATATATATATATTCACACATACATATATGTAAATATGCATATGTATGTATGTTTCTATATATATTAAATCTATCTCTGCTTTTTTTTCCTCTAGGACTCAGGCACAAAATCTGGGAGACTTCTTTTTCAAAGTATGACCCAGTGGTCTCTTGCATCAACATACCCCCCCAAGGGGCTTTTGTTGCGAATTCAGGGGTTTGGGGCATACCCCTAACCTCCCAAGTCAGACACCATGGGAGAGGGACTGACTGCTGGTGGTGGTGGTAGCAGCAGGGTGGTATGAAAAATTTTAAAACCTCCCTGGTAATTCGCATGCCCATTGGAGCCTGAAAACCGCTATTCTTCTCACCCTAGCTGAGGTCTCATATCCCAGACAGACATGGGACCAACCTCCCTGACTGTCCCTTTTAGCATGTGCCCCAGTAACTGCTCTTGCCAAAGACTGTTGGTATTGGAGCTGGCAAAAAGAGAACACTTAGATCAAATAATGGAGAAAAGGGTACAAGAAGTCTCTGAAGTTACACAACTACTGTACTTCCTTCAGAATTCTGAAACTTATAATTTCAGATTTCTCCAGGACAGCTCCTGGGGAGGAACTTTCCTCCAGGCCACAGAGAACCATGATGGATAACTCCCGGAGCCTCAAGGGAGACACCTCTGTGCACAGCTCTCTGGGAAAGTGCTCCCAGGCTCTGTGAGGGTGGAGCCTGTATGAGGGCAGCTTCTTACCATGTTTCCACATCTGTGCAGCTCCCTAAAGCCATGACCCTCCCAACCCTCCCAACATTCCCCAGCAACATGGATCTTAAAGAATTGTGCTGTGTGCTGCCCCCACTGTCTCCTCATAATGTTTGGATTCAAATGTTAAAGAGAAATTTGACAAAAGGAATATCGGACATTGGCTCTCACAACTCCAAACTCAGTAGACAGAAAAATGCATCATAGATGGGAGACGTTGGATTGGTCACTTTGCTGCCAGGTGCCTCTGTGCCCACCTGTGAGAAGTAATAAAAGTACTCTCCTAGGTGCATGATAACAGAAGGAAACACACATGTGGGGTCACCAACAGTTAACAGGTGCAAAACTCACTTGTTGCTTCTGGATGACCATCTTCAAGGGCTATTTATTTGATATTATTCTCTAAAGAGAAAAAAATCACTACATATTCACATGGAGTTCCTCCAAGAAATGTTACAAAATAATTGAAAACATTTCAAGCTACACCCCCAACCAAAAAAAAAATTTTTTCCTGCTTTTTCAAAGCTGTAAATTATTGGCAACTATAAAACATGTCCAGGCGTGTTTCCTTTGGGTGTTCTGATTGTATTTTCTCCTTTTAATCAGAGATTTGATGACTTAGACATTAACAGCTAAAAGCAGATTTAATACATTAGTGAACTCTGAATCAACACTGACAATGCCAAAAAAAATCTGCTTAAGACTTAGATACAAGCATATTCAAGAAATGGAGAATAAAATTAAAGCACATTTCTTAGTGGTTAAAAAAAAATCTTGAAGTGAATACATATGAGGGATTTTCAGAAACGATTCCTGGAAAGTGACTATTACAAAAAAATGGTGTATCTTTTCGAATTAGCATCATGTTATTGGGGAATTCTGCATAAACCAAGTCAACATGCACACTGATGAATTTTGATGTCCTTCTCTTGTTAGATTATTTCCCTTAGATGTTGCCAAAGCTAAGATTTTCTCATTATTATCTCCCCTCTCCATGCATTTACTAACATTTTTCCAATATTGCAAAATCAGGAGGGGAAAACCTTCAGTCATCTTTGTCTCCTCACTAGGTAGTCTTGAAGCTTAACTATACGTGAATGGGCAGAAAGGCAGAAAACCTGCTAATGAACGAAACAAAGAGTTAGCAGTGTTCTTTACAATAACATTTGTTTGTGAGTGTATCTGCCATTGAATGAGTAACCCACGAGGTTCTGAGTGTGCACCGGTGGCATTGCCATCAGTGTATGAGCCAAGATTGGGTATCAGTAGGCTTGAGTCAGTTATAGTACAGATGAAAAGCCATGGATTATGCCCTGCCTCTTACAGTGGGAAAGGAGTGAAGTTGACCCAGTTGTACATGTTGACCAAGGCAGGCACAAACATGAAATGTGGCGATGTCAGGTCTCAGTCTGGATAATTAATAGACAATCAAACTTTCACACAAAGTTTCTTAGGGAATGAGTGGGCACAACACAGTAAAGGAAAACCCTTAAAGGGTGTTAGTAATAGCCCGTATACGGTGATCTAGGCTGTCCACATCAGAAAGGGTGTTCTACAAAACAGCAGGGTTCAACCATTGGTAAAGACCCAGAATAGGCTTGAGAGCATCAGGATGGGGACTGTCTAGAATAAGCAGGATGCCGCCATTTTGTGGCTCCCAGCAAAGAAACCCGAACTAGAAGCCATGTTTATTAGACATAGTTCAACTGAGGCACAGTGTGCAGGTGGAGACCCACACAAGACAAAAGAGTCTGATCTTTTAGAATTGGCTCATGACATGTAAGGTAGACTACTGACAAACATGCTTGGGGGCTAAACACGCTGGAGAGGCTGGAGCTGTTACCCTCCAAGGGTATGCCAACTTTATCGGAACAGCTGATACAGTCTGACCATGAAAGGAGAATGCCAGGGAACAGGTGAGGGAGGCGGGGGCACACAGGGTCAGCCACCCTCTGGCAGGGTGATGTTCCGGGATGTTAGGTGGGAATCTGTACCTCAAGCCCTCTGACCCCCTAACAGAGGGGTCTAAATCAGAGCCGGGGTCCTTGACCACTTCAACGCTAAGAAACCAAACACTTAGACAAACCAAAAAAGGAAGAAAAAGCTAAGGAAAGTGGATTGGTCTGTGCGTTGTGCACCTGTGTTATGTAAGGATGTGGCTGTCTCTGTGTTTCAGGGTTGGCTGGAAGGCTGTGTAAGTTTGCTCAGAAATGGTGCCAAGCACAACATCCCAGACAAGAATGGGCGCCTGCCACTGCACGCTGCCACTGCTGAGCCTGACGTGAGGTAAGCAGGGCAGCTTGGAAGGAACCCAACCTGTGTAAGATGGTCATCCCAGCTACCCCTTAGTGGCTGATTAGAACAAAAGCTATTCTTTATTGTTTCTAAGGTTACAATGACCAGTGCCCCAACAAGAGACCCTAGAGCAGTCTTCAACTCTAATCTCATTCCTCTCTTGTGTTGATAACCTGTACCTCCAAGTGCTTGAGAAGAAATGTTGTCAGCATCAGAATACATATATTCATTTGTTCATTCAATTAGCCACTAATTACTTAGGAAGAGTTTATTGGGGACCAAGCCTGGCCTTTAGTTCTTCCCTGTTCAGGAGTAAACCAGAGTCTCTGACGTCACAGAACTTGCATTCCAATGAAAGAGTTAAGTGAACAAATAAATGGTCATTTCCATTAGGAAGAAAATCAAACTGGTTAAAAAAAAAAAAAAAAAAGAAGCAGCAGCAGCAGAAGCCACGAGTGGACAGCAAAATGGGTGTCTGCATTCCAGGGTCAGGCCTGTGTGTAGGTGCTGGGAATGGAGCAAGGAACCCAAGGCAGGAAGGCTGGGGCTTAGAGAGAAAGCGGGAAATGTGTGCCTCTGGACACCATGTGAAGAAAGACCTTCACAAAGATCATATTTTTGTAATATAATGGAGCAACCGTAGTTGCTCTGCCCAGACTAAGAGCCACTTTCTCGTCCATTGCTGTGGTCTAGCTGGCCTCGGTCTCCTGTCTTGCGAAAGCACCTGTCTGCTCCCCACTTCATCAGCAGGTAGCAGCAGCCTCTACAATGGAAAAGGTAATACTTTGGGACCTTCCAGAACCTGTGCAGTACAGAGCCTGCCTCTGCTCAGCTCCCAGCCTCCCGTCAGCCAGCATCAAGGGAAGATCATCTACTGTGCTCCACCCTCTGAAGCTGTGTCCAGAACCAAAACCTAGAGCTCTCGGGTCTGGGGTGGGGCTTGGAGCAACACCACCAACTTCCAGGCTGTGGGATAACAAGATCTCTTCATTTCAGTCTCTGTTACAGGAAAGGCAAGGAGCTTGGGAAATTCCAGGACTGTTCCAAAGGCATGCTTTTTATTATCTTGGACTAGATCCAGAAATAGCAGATCGCTAGGATTTACCCAAAGCCCAACAAAACAGGGAAGTTTAGAGAAGAAACAAGGAGCCCAGACATTCTGCACTCAGTGGACATCAAACTCCCTTCTGTCCTTTTGAACAGGAGTGGGGGGCAAAATAACAGGAGAGTTTTTCCAGAAAACCTAGTCAAACATTTAGTCACAAGATCATACTGCTTTCCCAAGAAATTGAAAGTGTGGCTTTTAATATGGTTTGGCCTTGATTCGCTCTACTTGCTTGCTCGCTTTTACCAGCCCCAGGAGGAGGCCATTTCAAAACCTACTAACCATGATAGAAGGTAAAAACCCTCTTGAGTTATGGCAATTACAGCTGTTATAACAAACAAATCTTAAAATTACAGTGATTTAACACAATAAAAAAAATGTATTTCTTTGACATGTAACATTCCAAGGTAGGTAACCACAGATGGTGGCTGACTGTCCTCCACATCTGGTGGTTCAGGGAACCCTGCTTCTTCATTTTGTTTCTCCATCATTTTCTGGATCACAAAATGCCATTCAGCCTGTAGATGGGGAAAATCTTCAGCTTGCAAAGGACACGTTCATTTCTATTTCTGTTGCTCCAGTGAAGGCTAGCCATTTGACTGCGTTTGAGTGCTCTGGGGAATGTAGTTTTGAGCCAAGGAATCTACGCCTCAGCAGTGACTACAATCCACGAAAGGCATGGATTTTGGTGAAAAACTTGGCCGTGTCCGCCATTCACCCCTGGTGCAGGAGGGATAAACCAAACCTACACTGCAGAAATTACATTCTCAACCAATCCTCTGAAGTCACTATAATAATAAATTGAAAACCAACCCAATTGTACTCGATTACTTTCTTGGAGAACATTTGGTGCATCTTCTTTTTGTGGACCTGTTTGTTGATTTCAAGCCCAGCAATGGCTCCAGACTCCACACGATCTACATTTCATTGCTATACCCGGAAAAGCAAAAAACTGTGGCTTCCACTTCTTTGGAAATTGTACCTAATGACCCTGCCCCCGCCCTGGGTGAGTAGATGATATGGTTTTATTGTCCTAAATGGGCATTTAAGTAATTCTGAAAGATAAAATTCTGCTTTTATTACAGTAATACTAGCTACTTTAAGTAATAAAATCCCAAGGTTAAGATTATTTTAAAACCAAATCATTATTTCTAATAAATGTTCTCCAAGAAAGTAATCGAGTTAAACCATAACACCCCATATAACAAATTGTTTAGTTTGGAAACTTACCAAACAGTTGGAGTCTCATTTGCCTTAAAAGATTCCTATGGAATTATATTGTAAGAAATTAAATATTTTATGGCTGTTTTATGGAGAAATTTTATGGCGTGACAGAGCTTGATAACAGATTTTCCATCACAGGTTCATTCCAGTCTATTGTTTGTGTGTCAGCATGGGCTTCGAATAGTTTTACGTGAAAAGTAAGAGCTTAGTCTGGCCTGTGGGTATTCTCTGTTCTTACAACCACAATGGGAAGGCAGTGACCTCTTATTTTGCCACATGACCTTATTTGACTGCTCAATTTTCCCAGGTGAGCACCATATTAGGCCAACGTGGCTGGCCACTAGAGCATGGGGGCCTGAACTTCACCTATGATGAGGGCGAGCAGGAGGATCACCACACTAGTAATTTTCCAAGCTGAGTTCCAAGTGCTCTAAGCTCAGTTCCCAGGGCTGTGCAGGTGCCATCTCATCTCATCCTTGCCACATCTTCACATGGCTGCTAACAGGTCCCTCCTCATTGTGTAGGAGGAACAGCAGGTATGGCAGGGACACTGAATGCTCACTGCATGTGTGAAGCTAATTGATGACCTGCCCAGTGTCTCTGCTGTGCTCCCGAGGCCTTCAGTTGTAGGCCCTGTGGAATTTGCTGTAATGACCATATTTTGTCCATAAGTCCTCAGCCCACATGGAAAGGACTTGTTAAGAAATACCCTTTATGCAATAATATAATATATTGACTCATGATCAGGCAGCTCTTGTTAATTGCAGTATTTAAGAACTCTCATATGTAAAACCACAAGAAAAGTTTCTACTGAAGAAAGAAGGAAGGAAAATTGTATTTTTCATGAGAAATAATCTTTTTTTTAATTTTTAACATGCCTATAGTATGACTTATAATCTTATTTCTTTCTGTACATGTCTAGAAAGTTAGAATTTGATTTCTATGCCACCTCTGGCATACATTACAGGACAAGAGACCACACCTCCTCTATCCTTCCCCTGATTTCTCTTTATCTAGCTTCCTCTGATTCTTGTTTTACTGCATGGATGTGAAACCACCTAAAGTCCTCATCAGGTGGAGAAAGAGGGTGGCCCGGAGTCGGTCTGAGTTTGAATCTTCTTCCATCTCAGACTGGTTGGCATGCTGTAACTCAGCTGGCTTTTGGTTTTCTAGGAAATAGGGGAATCTATAGGAGTTGACTTTCCATTTCCGTGAGTTCTGCCTCTGCAGAGTCAGCATGCCATGTGTCAGGAAAAAAATGAACATGTACAAACTCTTTTAGTCATTACTCACTAAACAGTGCAGAATACCCACTGTTTATGGAGCACTTATAACGTAACAGGTGTTATCTGCAATCTAGAGCAGATTTGCAGGTGTGAAAGAGAATGTGGGAAGGTTCTATGCAAATATGAGGCCATTTTTATATGAGGGCTTTGAGTCTCTGTGAAACTGAGTAAAGATACAGGGAGACCTGGAAACAGTCTCCCCAAATACTCATAGATAAGGCAGCAGATACAAACGAGAAAATGTATGAAACGTATTGACCACAGTGCCTCGTATGTTGTCTGTGTTCAAGAATCTGTTGGTGATGATGAAGGTGATATTAACGACAACGGTAGTTATCACAAGGCAGCATCAGTGGAGACCCATAGCACAGACCCTGTGCCAAAGAATGAGAAGCTGCCGGGCCACCACTAACTCCCACCCTGGCCTTCTTCACCTTGGTCCACAGGGAGTGTGGAAATGCACACGTGTCTGTGAACACACAGTCCACAGCCCACTCTACTGCATGTTCACTGCAAGGAACATCCGGGAAGGAACTGACTCCTGTTTGCATGGCCCCTGGGACCGTATTAAACTCCATCATGAAGTTAATGCATTAAAGCACTGTGTTAAGGTCATTCATTCAGCTTCTGGGAAACTCCCTTCGCTCACGCAGGTGCACCTATATTTCCTCCTAATCATGACCAGTATTTCCAGTCCTGGTTTGTGGCCACACACCTAGATAGGCAGTTTAAAAATCTGCTGAGCTTTAGAGTTCCACACAGCAAGCTCCTTCCATAAGGAGTGTGGGAAGTTCCATATGAAGAGGGAAGCCTCAAACCATAGCTACATATAAACAAGCCAGGGGGATGCCTTGATTAGCCCTTTTACTCTAGGGGCGGAGGGGATCTTGCTTCTCTGATGGGTTCAATTCCCTAGCAAACGAGTCAAGTCCCAGCTCCAACCTTCACTCAAGCCCTACTCGCCAGGGATGGAAACTGACGTGGGAGTGTTTATAGTCATGGCCCGAGGTATGGATTGAAGCCAGGGAGGGCAGGTATTATCGCACAAGTCCCCTTCCTTCTTTGTATCCTCTGCTTTCCCACAGATCCACATTGGTTCTCTCCCTTTCTGCTCTCCAGAGCTTTTCTGGCTCCCTGGGAGGGGACATTCAAGGGGCATCCATGTGAAAGAGGGGCCATGGTCACCAAGACAAAGCGCCAAAGAGGCGAGCCATGTTTGTACAACACTGCACATGCTAGTGTTGGAAGAGAAGCAACGATTTCATCTGAAAGCAGCCAAGGGCTCTGTGAAGGGCTTTTTCATGGTCTCCATGGTTACCAAGAGATTTCCCCCCCGCCCCCCACAACGATGGCACCAGCACTCTGCCTCTTTTCATCGCTCTTGACTACAGTCAGAGGCGGAAGGAAATCACTTCCTTGGGGTGCTGTTCTCTAGTTATTAAGCAATGTGCTCTGACATGTGGTCATGGATGTTTCACTACACAACACAACGCGTACACCCTGGCAGCTTCAGGAGTGAAAGGGGGCAACAGCTGGCCTGTGGACTATTTCTCCACTCCACCCCTGTCCCTTTACAACTGGACTGGCCTGGACTGAGAACAGCAGCCCAAGGGGCCAAAAAGATGGGAAAACCTGTAGAAATCGGTCTCTCTTAAGATGCCAATAGCATTTTCTCACACACATACACACATCACCTAATGATGACCAAAAAATATAAGATAGCAATTTTTAAAAAATCATTGTATAAGACTTGGCAATAGCACAGAAGCACTATTCTAAGTGCTTTGTATGGATCGACTTATTTCAAATCACAGCACATCTTTAGGAAACAAGTTTTATTATTATTTTTTGATTGTGTAGGCATCAGTGTTCCATTGCATGTCCAGGGTCATTGGTTGGGATGGAGGTGGGAAGTGAGGCACTGTTGCACAGGCAGATTGGCCCCGCCTCTGTGCTCTTGTCACACACTGCCTATCTGCCAAGGCCCCAGCTGGGGACCTGGGCCTGCTGCCCAGGGACCTGGGGTGAGGTGGACCTTGCTTTGGAGAGATGAGAACAGACAAGACCTAGAGTAGTGGTCAGCGAGGGGTTGTGGGCCTCACTGCACAAGAGCAGAGCCTTCAGAAAATGGACTCAAGATACCTGCTGGTTGTCTGGTCATGAAACTTAGACATGAATCACTTGTACACCACAGAACAGCAAAGGTGCCCCTGGTTGGAAACAAGATACCTGCCTTCTAGTTTAAGCTGTATTGCTGTGACATCAGCAATCAATGTAGACCTCAAGTTTCTGCTCTTAGAGAGGCAGGAAAGAGCTGTCATCTGTAAACATGTGTCCAGAATCAATAAGTCCTACAGACTAAGAAATTAATGGAATCAGACAACATAGATTGATATGAATCACTCAAGGGCATGATAAGGAAAGCATGGGATATTAAAAGGAAACAACCATGAAAGTGAACTTGACCAGCCAGAGCTGATGGTTGTTTCTCACCCCACCTTACCTCCTCTGAAAAGACTGAAAATACCATCACCTCCTCAGCCAAAAGGCAAGGCAAGGAGTGGTCCCTGGAGCCTCTGAGAGCCAGGATGGTAGCTGGAGCTGCAGCGAAGGGGCCTGCCTGGCAGGAACCCAGAACTTGGCAGAGGAAGGTGCTCATGGCCAGAAATAAGATGCCTTCCCTCCTTCCTCCTCCTGCTTGCCAGTTCTCCTATGTGCCAAAGCCAGGAAAAGTCCAAAGGCAAGGAGCCTAAGGCTGCTGTCCTTTGAGGTCAGCCTCAGACCAAGACACTGCCAAGAAGGGCTTGGAATGGAGAACAAAAAGAAAAATAACCCAGGTGCAGGATCATCTGGCGACCTGTGGAATCCCACTGGGCTGGGCCAAGAGATCTTGCTCTTCCACTCCTCCTCTGTCTGGGCAGAGCCTCTCCCTCCCTCTCAAAGTGCTGGCTCAGGAGCACCCCCAGAAGTACCAGGCTGGATTTGCTCAGGCGCCACTGAAAACAGCCACATTGGGCCTTCCCCTGACCTTGGCCTTCCCCTCCTGCTCTTCTTTCAGCGATTCATATCGGTGGACTCTAAAGATTAGACAACAGCCAGTAAGGAGGGCAGGGTGTGGGGATAAGGAGGAGGAGGAGGAAGATGGGGAGAAGGAAAGACAGGGAACAGGCACCCCTCTGCAAGCACTTACAAAAGAAAATACTTTAGTGATGAAATATAATCTCACACATAGCATCACTCCCAAAGCCGTTCCTTTTCTCACGTTATTCCAAGGGCACTGAGGATGGCTCTAGGATCTCAAGAGCATAAAGAGGCATGCTTCCCACACACAGGCACGTCCATTCACAGAACCTGCTCAGGGAGCTCTCGCCTGCTGCTTCAGCCCGTCCTCAACACCATTGCTGTCATCGGCCCTATTTAATCCATGAGGATTTGGAAGCTTGGAGGGCCTCACGCAAGGCCAGGATTAAGTCGAAGCATTATCTTGGCTCCCCAAATAAGACAGTGGTTAAAACCAGACTTAGATCACAGAAATGGTTAAGACTAGATGTAAGCTCCCAAATCTGCAAAAAAAAAAAAAAATCTAGATTTAAAAAGCCACAGCTGCCTAGCTCTTCTGCCTCCACAGAAGCTCAACCCCTTTGAAGGCCTTTTGGAATTTCATTCTCTACCAAGGCAATACAATGACACCATCTTTCTATTCTGTCAGCAGCAACTTACTATTTAGGGTATCAGATTTTTTTATTGCTGGGAGACAATAAACATATGTGAAAGAGTTGCAGAGAAGTAGAGACAGAGACACAGAGCTCTTCCATCTGCTGGTTCACTCTCTAAATGGCTGCCATTTGGGGGGTTGGGCCAGACCCAAGCCAGGAGCCTGGAACTCCATCCGGGTCTCCCACATGGGTAGCAGGAACTGAAGCAATTGGGCCATCATCCACTGCTTTCACAGGTGCTTTAGCAGGCAGCAGGATAGGAGACAGAGCAGCCAGGATTCGAGCCGATGTTCTGCTCTCAGTTACTAGTATCGTAAGCAACAGCTTCACGTGCTGTGTTATAGTGATGGTCCCCTGGGCAGATTGTTTAAACTCTAGAAGCTGCTTCCTCCCCAGGCCTCCTGAGTTAGAGACTTGGAGGTACTTGCGGGGTTCAAAAAATATCCACAGGAGATTCTGAGATGGGGCTGAGGTTCAAATTGTTTTCCAGGCGTGGTGTCAGGGCTTTAGGTGTTTGAATTTCTTTACTCCTACTGAGCTGTAAGATGGGTATGTTTTGTACCCCCTCCTTTCAGGTGAACAATCAGGCACAGAGAGGGTGAGTAAGCTGCTTGAGATCATAGAGGCAGTGAGTGCCAGGGCTTGGCTGAGAGCCCGGAGTGCCAGTCCTGGGCCATCGCTTGTTTACTCAGTTGTCCTCTTACAAACAGAGTGCCAATCTCTGTTAGAGGCACCCAAACCAAGCAAGAGCTAGAACTTGACAATCGTGGTGGTAGTTTCACACTGATTAATCTCATGCTTTGATATTAGCTTCTTTATTAGTTTATATATTTTTATGTTCTTGAAAGGGAGACAGATATTTCCATGGGTTTCACACCCCATACACCCACAATAGCCAGGAGTCAGGCCAAAGCCAGGAGCTAGCCACTTCATCTTTGTCTCCCATGAGGGCAGCAGGGGCCCATGCACTTGAATTATCATCTGCTGCCTCCTGGAATGCATTAGCAAAAAGCTGGATTCAAAGCAGAAATGCCAGGACTCAAATCGGCACTATGCTTTGGGATACAGGTACCATAACACCCACCCTTATCCTTGAATAGTTGTGTATTTTATAAAGAAGCAGCAAAACTATAAATGTTGGCTACCTGCTGGCATAATCTATGCATTTAAAAGCCATGATATGGGCTGCCATTGTTCAGTTCTGACTTCTCCATTTCCAGTCTAGCTCCCTGCCAAAGTAACTGGGAAAGCAGTGGAAGATGGTCCAAGTACTTGGGCCTCTCCCACCCACATGAGTGACCCAGATGAGGTTCCTGGCTCCTGGCTCCTGGTCCAGCCCTGGCCATTATGGTTATTTGAGTAGTGAACTAGCAAATGGAAGATCTCTTTCCCTCTCTGTCACTCTGCCTTTCAGATAAATATGTACATCTTTAAAAATAGGTAAATAAAAGGCACAACCTGTGTAACTAGAAGTGATGCAGATTGCAACTACCCTTTATGCCTAACATAAAAATAATGGAGGTCCCAGTGCAATAGCCTAGTGGCTAAAGTCCTCGCCTTAAACATGCAGGGATCCCATATGAGTGCCGGTTCTAATCCCAGCCACCCCATTTCCTATCCACCTCCCTGCTTGTGGCCTGGGGAAACAGTGGAGGACAGCCCAAAACTTTGGGACCCTGCACCTGTGTGGGAGACCCAGAAGGAGCTCCTGGCTCCTGGTGTCAGATTGGCTCAGCTCCAGCCATTGAGGCTGCTTGGAGAGTGAATCAACAGATAGAAGCTCTTCCTCTCTGTCCCTCCTCCTCTCTGTATATCTGCCTTTCCAATAAAAATAAATAAATCTTTTTTTTTTTTAAAAAAAGAAGTAATGGAATAAGCAGTAGTGGATACATAGACCTGCCCTTCCCCTCCTCTTAGATGGGCAAGAAGATGGTGAGAAGGTGTATTTGTCACAGGTGCTCTGTTTATCACACAAGCTCATTTTCCGTGGCTCTTTTCCCAGATCAATTGTAGGGCCCCCCTTCATTTTGGAAGCCTTCACTTCATAACATTTCTAAGACCTTCTCTTTTCCCCTTGTTTTTTAGTGCTATATTTCTTTTTTATATAATGCACAAGATACAGATGCAATTCTTACACTATCCATTTCCTTTTTTTTTTAATGAAAAAAAAATGTTTCGCATGATGCAGTTCCTCAGCCTCAAGGATTTCCCCTTCCACCCTCCCGTCTACTGCCTTCACACACACCTTTTTCTCCTGCATGGTAACGGCAGTTTAGTCCCTCAACCACAGTCGTGAGTCCGTCATTCTGCTGTTGAAGTGTGTGCTGACATTGTAGGAATAGAGAACGGTATCAAGTCCAGCTCAGACCATCTTCTTAAGTGACTGCTCCCCGACCAACTGCTTCTCTCTGGCTTTCTCCTGCAGGCTCCTCACGGTTCTGTTGCAGCAGTCAAGCCTCAGTGAGATCAACCACCAGGACAACGAGGTGAGTCTGCACGGGCTGGAGCAGCAGGTGGAAGGGGAGGCTCCACAGAGTCTCCTCTGCAAAGGCACGAGGAGGGGATGCACCACGTAGCTGCGCCTCTCCTCTGAAATGGAAGCCTGTATCCACACACTAATCCTCAGGCAGCCGTGTGTCCCTGCCGTGGGTGTGGACAGTGTCTAACAGGAAAGGATTTACTACATTAAGAGCTTAAGCATTTGTCACACAACTGAAATTTTGTAATTTCCCTCTGGATATTGAGAAATCAATATTGCTCTCCTGTCTTCTAAAGTCCCAGAGGCTTAGGTGGCAAACGATGGCTCCTGACATGCTCTGAGTGACAGATCATAGAGCGAGCCTAGTTCATCACACCTGCTCCAGGGGGCCATATTAACCAGAGACCACACTTGCCTTTTCCTGCATGGTGCAAACATAGCACTGTAAAAGTCACTTGAAAAGATGGTTCGGTGCCCTCTTTGGAGAAGCAGAGAGAGAGAGAGAGAAAGCATCCATTTGCTCATTGGATATGCTCCTCAAATGCCCACAACATCCGAGGCTGCTAGATGTCTCACCTGGATGGCAGGTACTCAATTACTGAAGCCCTCACCTGCTCCCTCCCGGGAGCAGGAGCATTAGCAGGAGGCTGAAGTCAGGAGCCAGAGCAGGGAATCAAACCCAGGCACCGGAATGGGGGACAGCTAAGCTAAGCATTGCCTCCCATTCAGCACTAATGAGCGACATGCTGAACAGGATAGGATGAGACAGAGTTGCTTCCAAGAAGTTAGGATCTTGTTATATCTACCTAGCACTTTCAAAAAGCAACGCCGTCTTTGATTAGCCAACTTGACCACCTTAGCAAGCTTCATAAGCTGATTTGAATACCTGGGTTTTAATAGAGTTGGATTTGTCTTTTTAATAGATGTGCATTTTGTTTGCACATTAGAAACAACATGTGACATTTTAAGTCTAGCAGTGTTAAAGGTGCCCATCCTGAATATACAAGGCGATACTATTTTCTTTTAAAAAAATGTTTATTTTTATTGGAAAGGCAGATCTACAAGACAGAAAACAGGACAGAGAGATATTCTATCTGCTGGTTTATTCCCCAAGTGGCCACAACGGCCGGAGCTGAACCAATCTGAAGCCAGGAGCTTCTTCCATGTCTCCCACGTGGGTGCATGATCACAGTCTCTAGTGCTTTCCCAGGCCACAAGCAGGGAGCTGGGTGGGAATGAAGCAGCCAGGACATAAACCTGCGCCCATATGGGATCCCAGCATATTTAAGAGGAGGATTCAGCCACTGAGCCATTGCACCAGGCCCACTGTGATACTATTTTCAAGGAACCATCTTGCTTGCTTGAATAATCAAGGAGGGAAGACTAGCCTCGCAATGGCTTTCTCCTGGCTCGACCCCATCCTCCACTGCCAGGGGCCTCCTGACCATAGGGCCACCCCCACTCATGATGGCCCAAAAAAACCCTTGGATCATGATCTGGGCCTGAGGCCAGCCACCTCCCACTTTGGGAGGTCACACACTGCTTCCATTCCCCAGATCGTCAGTGTCCTGAGGCAACCCTTGAAGGAGAGACGCTGGCACCAGTTAACTTCTGCTTTAGAAATGAGAACCAGAGATGAGAATGTACTCATTGCTGCTGTGTGCAAGTGGAAAACTGGAGTGGCTGTCGTTTGTGTCAGCAGATAATGGGCCCCCAGATTGCTGACAAGGTGCCAACCCTGCCACCTCCTTCAATCCCTGCTTGCACCCCCTCGTAAATCAATCAATAACTAACCTCGGACTTCTGTGGAAAGTTACAGATTCAGTTGTTCTCCTCCTGCAGCTCAAGTCCAGGTTCAATCTCAAACTCCATCCTACCCTATCTGAGTCAACCTCCCCCAGCAAAGCCACAGTTTCCAATTTTCCCCACCCTGGGAGGCCCTAGGTTAGTGGAGACTATGGAAGTAATGGTAGACCTTTCTAAAAGTGGTCCTTGAAGCACCTGCAGATGATATTGGCAAATACTGGAAAAGGCTCCAGTTCCATCTCATGCAAAATGACATCGGGAGAAGTTTTCTGCTCTTACAATAGCATTGTCTGAAAGACCAGGCCCAACAGAGCAGGTGTCGCAAATGGACACTTCTGGGATGGTGGTGGATGTCCACATCTTTAACAGAAGCTCCAGTTAGAGTCCTTATTCAACTCTCCATCCAGCTTCCTGCCAGTGTGCACCTGGGAGGCAACAGGTGATGGTCGATGTACCTGGGGCTCTGTCATCTCTAAGGAGATCTGGATTGAATTTGGGGGAGTTGATTTAGTGAATTTAGTTGAATTAGTTGAATTAATGAAGTTAGTTGAATTTAGTGAATTAGTTGAATTTGGGGGAGTGAATTAGTGAATGAGATCCTCTCTCCTCTCTCTTTCTCTCTCTCCCTGATTTTCACATAAACTTAAAGAAAAACAAATAAATCTTGTAGCAAAAAAAATCACATTTGAAAAGGGACACTCCACACCCACTGTCACACCTTCTTCTTCCTTCAGCTCATGTTATAGCATGTCTGAAATCTGTCAACACCAGCTCCTAATGCTTGACTGTGTTTTTACATAGCCTTTTATGTAATATATACTACATAGATTTTATATATCAATGCTTATCAAAATATATTGACATATAGCATCTACATGCCTGAGGGGTCTTCAAAATGTTCACAAAAATGCGTATTATTGGGGAAAAACATGCGTTTTTGAAATTTTATATCAATTTTAATTCCATTTTTCATGACCTGTTAAGACTGCCGCACACACACGTGCGCATGCGCGCGCGCACACACACACACACACACACACACACACACACACGCATACACAAGGTGTGTGCATCAACATATCCGTCGCTGCTGTGAGCCAACTGAGAGATAAGGAAAACTGGAGGGGAAAGCACACAGCTCGAGCTATCTTCTGTTGCTCGGGTGGAGTCTCTTCCTTTGGCTTCTTGATGTTTTGAACAATCTCCTCCCACTCCCTCCTCCCAGTGCTTGTTCCACGAGCTCCAAGCATGGCGCAGCCTCCGTCGTGTAAAGGGCTGGGGAGCAACAGTCAAAACAGACACACACACACACACACACACACACACACACTCTGCACCGGCTAACCACCAAGAAGCCAAAGCAGACAAGCTTAAAACAGCAGGGGAAAAGGTGACTTCAAGGTGATGAAACATTTCGGTTTCCTAATGAAAAGAAGACAGAACACGGAATACACTGTGCAATGTAATGAAATTACCTCCCGGAAGAAGCGGAAGGAATCCCAAGCTTATCTCAATAGTGGTTGAAATGGAATAGTCAGTAGAAACCGGATTCCATTCATAGATATGTTGGTTGAAGATGAAAACTAAACAATAGGGAGATGGAGGTAAGAAGAAAGTTAGCCTGAAGCCGTTGTTTATCTGCTCAAGCCAAGCGAATGGTTTATATCCAGAAGGTGAACATCACTTTACAGGTTGTCCTAAACTAGCTCAGTTACTTGAAATAATTCGGTGTGTTGTTAGTTTTTCATACATATAACTCATATGTGAATACATTTGCTTTTTAAAAATTTAAATGTTACAAGTAATGGGGTAGGCATTTTGCCTAGCAATTGGGACTGCTACATCCCCAGTAAGAATGCCTAGGTTTAAATCCTGGGTCCACTTCCAATCCCAGCCTCCTGTTAATGCACACACTAGCAGTTAGAAGGGCCAGAATGTCACTATCCCCCATGGCAGAGACCTGGATTGAGTTCTAAACTCCAAGGTTTGGCTTACTCCTAGCCCTGGCTGTTAAGGGCATTTGGGTTGTAACCCAGCAATGGGAGCTCTCTCTCTCTCTGTCTCTCTCTCTTTCTTGGTGCCTGTCTGCCTCTCACATAAAATAAATATCACAAGCAATACTAGAAAGTCCTGGACAACTTCCAACTTCTCTTTCTTGGTACTTAAATACCCACATATCCATGGAAACTAAGGAGCACTACATAAAAGGAATTGTCCCGTATGCTGTTGTGCAACTTTGTGTTGCCTTAGGCGTATGTCTTTGATCTGGCCCACCTCTTTCAATGGCTTCCTGGTATACCATGTCAAGAGAATACCTGTTTACTTAGCTATCCTCTTATGAATGAGAATTTAGACTGTCTCTAGGATTCCATCATCATAAACATCAATTTCGAAAGTATTCTTATGCAAGCCTTCTTGAGTACCTTATGCAAGTGTTTCTCCTGAAGAATTATTGAGTAATGAAGGATATATTTTTTAATACACACCTCTTTGTTGTTTCCTCAAAACAACTGTATTAATTCCTAGTACACGAGGGGCTCTATTTTCAAGTCATTTCCAGATTTTTTTTATTCTTTCTGATTCTTGAGGTTGTGCATTCTTTCATAGATATGATGGTCTTTTCTTAGATTTTTGTTTGTTGATTTGCCAATTTCACCTTCTACGCACTGATCCATCGAGTAACTTGTCTTTCGACTCATAGAAGCATGTTGAATAAATTAATATTAATCCTTTGGGTTTTTGCTGGCTTATAATTTTTTCCCCCAGGTTATTGTTTATTTTAGAACTGTTCATAGTGACTTTTCTTCTACAGGAAATTCAAAATATAAGATCAGAATGGTCCTTCTGTGGGCTTCGATGTCCTTCTAAAGAACAACTTGATTCTAGCATGCTACATTTTCTTTTTCTCTGTTAAAAAAATATTTTCTCACGCTTTTTTTTTTAATGTGGTTTCAATTCTGAACTCTTTGTTCTGTTCCAAGGATCTGCTTGCTTTCCTGTTTCATTAGCCACACAACTTGATGACAAAGTGACTTCTTTAGAAGCTATCTGCATTGCAGAGCTTGATGCTGTGGGAAAGGCGAGGTGTGGGTCACATTGCTGTTCGTGATCTTGTTCTTTAAGTCAGTATCTCAAGGGACTCCTTCACCTAGAGAGAGGCGTGCCTCTTGCAGCTACCGGGAGTAAAAAGTGCCTGAACAG